CAGGATGCGCCCTGCACACATCATCAAACCCGATGAAGTTCAGAGGTGATTCATTGGATTCACCACTTCATCGGACCCGATGAAGTTCAGACGTGATTCTTTGGATTCAACACTTCATCGGATTCGATGAAGTTCAGAGGCGATTCTTTGGATTCAACACTTCATCGGGCTCGATGAAGTTCAGAGGACATTCTTTGGATTCAACACATAGTTGGACTCGATGAAGTTCAGAGGAGATTCTTTGGATTCAACACTTCATCGGATTCGATGAAGTGCAGAGGCGATTCTTTGGATTCAACACTTCATCCGATTCGATGAAGTTCAGAGGCGATTCTTTGGATTCAACACATCTTCGGACTCGATGGAGTTCAGAGGAGATTCTTTGGATTCAATACATCATCGGACTCGATGAAGTTCAGAGGAGATTCTTTGGATTCAACACATCATCAGACGCTCTGAACTTCAGAGGAGACTCTTTGGATTCAACACATCATCAGACTCGCTGGAGTTCAGAGGACATTCTTTGGATTCAACACATCGTTGGACTCGATGAAGTTCAGAGGAGATTCTTTAGATTCAACACATCATCGGACTCGATGAAGTTCAGAGGAGATTCTTTGGATTCAACACATCATCGGACGCTCTGAACTTCAGAAGAGACTCTTTGGATTCAACACATCATCAGACTCGCTGGAGTTCAGAGGAGATTCTTTGGATTCAACACATCATCGGACGCGATGAAGTTCAGAGGAGATTCTTTGGTTTCAACACATCATCGGGCTCGATGAAGTTCAGAGGACATTCTTTGGATTCAACACATCATCGGACTCGCTGGAGTTAAGAGGACATTCTTTGGATTCAACTTCAAAACCGACTGAGTCTAGGCTCACAGCTTGAAATGTCGCTGTCTCTGTAGCGACTCTCACCAGGAGGCCCTAGGGTTCGATTCCCGACGGTGGTGAATTTTCAACATTAGCTACAGGGCTAGTTCAAATTTAGACGCCGTGTGGAGGAGAAATTTAGCTACAGGCTGACCTGAACCTATCGATCACATTTGGGATGTTTTGGAAAGCCGCCTTCGTGCCACGCCTCACCGACCTGCATCGATACCTCTCCTCAGTCCTGTTTTGCAACTCTCCGTGAAGAATGGGCTACCATTCCCCAAGAAACCTTCCTGCAGCTGATTGAAAGTATGCCTGCGATAGTGGAAGCTGTCAAGGCTACGGGTGAGCCAACGGTCTATAGAATTCCAACATTGCCGATGGAGGGCGCCACAAACTAGTAAGTCATCTTCTGCCTGTGTCCGAATACTTTTGATCACATAGTGTATGTATTATTGAATGGTCGTATCGCGCATATAAATACTTCTGCGCGGGCCGCATGAGCCTGTACGTGAAACCGTCGCCGCGCGGCGTTGCACGCGCGTGACTCACCTGAGGGGTTGACGTCGAAGAAGCGCACGCGCGTGCGCAACACGGAGCTGAACATGGCGTGGTGCAGGTGCTCGGAGCAGCGCATGGCCACGGTGTAGAAACTGAGGGAGCGGCTCAGCGCGAGCAGCAGCAGCCCGCACACCAGCCCCGTGTAGATGTACACGTACAAGTGGACGTCGGGGATGTCGGACGTAATTATGTCCGGATCTGCCTGTGCGCGCAAGAAGAAGCACTGTTAGTCACTGCTCGTCGGGGAGCGGACACGGAGAAAGGAAAGCCGTGAGAGTCCTCGACCCCTTTTGACCTCGTGAACAGAGTTGAATACTTTGGTAGGATTTTCATTGCTATTAGACAGGAAAATAATATTTTCCGACATGTTGTAGACTGTTTTCAATTTTTATACCTCTGAGTTTTCATGTGATTGCCATCCATCGGGGTATCTAAACAGCAACCAAACTAAGCAGCAAAAGTTGCGACACAAAAAAAGTCAGACTTGAAGGTGATAATTTAGAGTACCTATTAAAAAATTGTTTATTTTGTCCATAATGTATCCAATGTTTAATGTAATCTTAATGCAATTTTTCTATTGTATACGTGCGCTTAAGAGAAGTTTGAAATAAGTTTTGAAGAAAGTACGCTTACTGCTGTCTTACCACCATTAGATTTATACTACTACTGCGGCGGTTTGTCATTACAGCGGCATCACCGTATCCAGAAGAAATTGGTGTTAGTATTATTATTACTATTATTATTATTTAAACCTTATAATATTGCTCCCTACGATAAAGAATTCTACGCGCGGATTTACCGAACACTTTACAATGCGTTGCTTAAAAAACAGTTTAACGAAAAATAATTAAATAAATACTTGAGTGAAATAAAAAACACAGAAACTAGGTAAGGCAAAATAAAAAAAATATCACTAACTCAAAAGTGCATAAATTAACTAGCAGCTGATTGCAACTCAGAAAATAATTTATATAATAATTTAACTGCTCGAAATATTTTTTCATCACTTTTTGTTTACTTTGAGATGAGTTTTAAAAATATCAATATATAATCAACTAGTGTTTTTATGATGTTTTCGTTCTGGCTTTGAGAACTTACCGCTTCTTTTTCTCTTCTCTCCTCTTGGCGAGTCCTGCAAAAGAGAACACTCTTTTAACAGACTGCGGATCTAATTTTTTACATTTCTCTCCTTCGCCGCTTGAGGTTGCTCTACCAACCATCCACGTTTTTCTTATCGCAAATCTTACATGGTCAGATTTGAAACAAGGAGAACGATCATCAGTTGTTCTCACCCTCACGTGAATATTAAGAACAAGGAATAGAAGACAGAAAAGGTGAGATGAGAGGAAAGAGAAAAGGAAAAGATGAGGAGAAGAGGACAGGTAATCAAGGAAAGGAAAAGGAGGAGGGGAAGACGGAGAAGGAATATGAGGAGAAAAGGAGGGGGAAGGGGGAAAAGAAGGAAAAGAAAAGGAAGAACATACAGAGGATGAGTAGGATAAGAAAGGGAGAGGAGGAGCAGGGCGAGGTCAAAGAAAGAGAGGAGAAGGATAAGGAGGAGCAGAAGGAAAGAGAAGGATGAAGAGAAGAAAGAGGAGGAGATGGAGTAAAAAGTGGAGAAGGAGAAAAAAGATAAAAGAGGAGGAAAAGAAGAAGAAGAGAGTGAAGAAGAGAAACTGTGCCCTCACCAGAAGGAGACGAACCAGTCGCAGCTGCTGATGGTGCCCTGGGCCAGCAAGAAGAGCATCGCCAGCCCGGTGAGCAGCAGGGTGCTCAGGCACTGCGTGCCGAAGCCCTGCCCGCTGCCCACGCGCGTGCCCGCGCGGAAGTACTCCAGGTAGGGCGACTTGCCCTGCGTGCGGCCCTTAGACGACAGCTCCTGGCGGTCCTCCTCCGAGTCGCCGCCCCCGGTGCCCACTGCCGGCTCCTCCGCCACGTCGCGCTTCGACGACGTCCGACTCTGCGCACGCAGCCACACGCCCGCCATCAGAAGCACGGCGACACGTTGAGCAGCGTGGGGGAAAGACATGCGTGAACTACTCCCGCGCACCGGTTTTTGCTCGCTCTGCCCTGTCATGAACCACGTGACCGCAGCACGGGCTTCTACTGCTCCTCCTTATCTTTACCCACTCGTTTGAAAAGCCAGACGGTACGTTGGCCGCCATGTTGAATGGAAAGCAAATATTGTTGAGAAACATTTCGAAAGTGGCTTGATGTGAGAATTTTTAATTACGACCAACCAAAGCTAACACGGTGATGGTGTACAAGAAGCAATATTTAACAGAAATGATTCATATATCTGTTTCAATGTCTTGTAAGAAGGTGATAATTTTTGTACCTGATTGTATTTCAAATTTCCGGTATTACTGTGACGCCAACTGGTGCTTGGAGACATTGGCTGAAGTCGGATACGATGAGGAGTAGCTCACTCATGACTTTCCATCATGTTGAGCAGCCTATTTGGCTTCGGCCAATAAGCTTCATCCACCAGTTTGCGTTACAATATTAGTGAAAATTTTAAACGCATCCAGGTACCAAAAAATCGTCACCTTGTTACAACTCATTGAAACAGATATATGAAGCATTTACAAAAATTATGCATCTTTTATTTCAAATACACCTTCATCATGTTGTTTTTGGTCGGTCGCCGTTGAAAATTGCCACTTTATGCCAATTTCAAAATGTCTCTCAACGCTTCTCGCTTGCCATATAGCATAGCTGCCAGCGTCTGGTCCGGGTTTTCAAAAGAAGTGCCCGTGACAACACGTGACTCTTCGCGTGTCTGGAGCTGCGCAGAAGGAGCAAAAATATGTGCGTCGGACTACTCCATCCATATCTTTTGATCACGGAGAGATCGCGTCTCGCAATTTGGAATAGAATGAATTCCACTCTAACATAACCGCACTGTACTCTGTCGCACCCAAACATGTTTAAAAAGATATTTTCAAGTGACATGAAACATTGAAGAGAGGTGTACTGAAACTAACAAATTAAAAATGTTTGCAAAATGTCAATTTTGCAAATCCCCCTCTCCCCCTTTGAACAGTTGCAACACGATTACCTTTCTGAGGAGCGTTTCACTACAACCTACCTATTTTGGTGAGATGCGACTTCATTAAAATTAGATTATTTTATTAAATTAATTAAATTAATCATATTGAATATCTCAGAATAAATATTACAAATTTCTCGGGCATTTAGGGTCTTCAGAAATAACTTATTTTCAACATGCGGTCGGAAATTGTCACCAATGACATTTGCATTACGTTTATAGGCAATTTAGGCAGAAACGGATTCATAATATCATTTAACAATTTTTGGAAATCGATTTTATCGGTCATGTCGCTATAAACAAGTAAAATCGCAATTCTGTTGGACGGATCTTGCAACATAGTCGATCGCTTTCACGTTTTGAGTCGACGCAATACCGAGAACCATTCTGGAATTTGTTTTAAGGAATATTTCTTTCACCCCAAATCCCGTGTGGGTATTTTACTCTCTCAGAACTACTTGAGTGGGTACAGCTACCCCCATTATCCCGAATTGCAAGTACTCACCCGCGTGGAGGAAATACGCCGAAGGAGGCGGCCGACCTTGGTGACGCTGTCCCGCTTGCCCACGCTGCCGGCGTCCTTGCTGCTCTGCTTGTCCGCGTCCTCCTCGCCGTCCGACTCGCCCACGTCTTCGTCGTGGTTCTCGCCGATCAACGACTGGTAGTCCACTTGCTCCGTCAACGTGTTGAAATCGCCCTGCATCTGCACTTGACCCTGCGCACGTCACCAAGGTTTTCTCTCAGTCGCTTGTCACCACCGTTGATAACGAGTTGTTGTTTAATAAAAAGGTTATTCGTTTATAACGAACTGTACTGAAGATAGGCGTTGTGGTACTCACGTTGTGGAGCAAGATGATGCGGTTGGCGTCCTGGAGGTACTGCAGCTGGTGGGTGACTAGCACGCGCGTCTTGCCGGCCAGGAATCCCATGATGCACTCGTCGAACAGATGGCGCCCCACGTGCGTGTCCACGGCAGACAGCGGGTCGTCCAACAGGTACACGTCCGCCTCGCGGTACACCGCCCTGCGCAAGCCACGTTCACTGCTCAGTTAAATCGTGATTGGTCATCGTCGCACAGGGAATCGAAACCGCCGATATGGACTTGTATGGGGAATGAATAATAGAAGGGGGCTCTTGCGCATCATATAGGACTTCAGCCAATGGGCTTCAGTCACCAGTTTGCGTCACAATATTTACGGCAATTTTAAATGTAGCCAGATATAAAAATTATCACATCGTTTCATGACAAAACAGATTTATGAAGCATTTCTTTTAAATACTGCATCTTCTTTACCATTATTGTGTTATTTTTGATTTATTACCGTTGAAAATTGTCAGTTTGTACCACTTTCAAAATATTTCACGTGTCTCTCGCTCTCCATGCAACATGGCGACGAGCGTGTGGTCTGGTTTTTCAAATAAAGTGCCCGTGCTATGGTCACATGGTTCGTGACGCACCCTGGCGTTGCGCAGAAGGAGCAAAAATCTGTGCGCCGGAGTAACACACTCATGTGTTTCCACCAGGAATAATCGGGTGCATAGCGTACAACAATATACTATAATATCGATTTTCTGAGTATGCGCAGAAGTACTGCGAAACTCGAACTGCGCATTCCCAGATAATCGATATCGCTATCGATTGCTATTGCGCTTCGCCGTGCAAAAGCTTCCAGATACCTCCCGCACACACAGGAAGATGCAGAAAGAAATATTTGTTCTTTAATATATCGTTTTTATACTAATGTTCTAATATAATTTATAAACCCAAATCTTTATTGTATTCTTCAAAACAAGTTTTATTTTCTTTCATTTTCTCTTAACCCACTTTCATTTTATCTTAAAATTAACACTCAACTAAAAAACCAAATAATACAAGCATTTCATACAGCACAAAGGAACTCTTCACGTCGGAACCTCATTCACAAAGCACGATTGTTTCATCAGGCTTATAGGTGGGCTTCAACTAAGATAATTATGACGTCAAAAGGGGTGATGATTAATTGGTTCGCAATCTACGTCCGAGTATTGATATTGTGGTGAGATTTCGTTGGCATTTACAATGAAATAATTATATGAGTCGTCATTGCCAACTATATTATATATGTATATATAATATATATAATATAATATAATATTAATTATATATGTATGTATATAAAATATAATATAATATTATATATAATATTACAATATTATAATATTGTTGGCAATGATGACTCATATAATTATGTCCGATTATCTTTATAATAAATTCTGTTGTGCGTTTTCTGGTCTGTTAAAAATGAATTGAGTAAATATAGTATATCATTAAAATAATGTGATAAATAAATATATGGTGAATAACAACACCGAGAGGAAGATCTCATCCTCCGTCCAAACGGAGCGAGTGGGGCGGTGCAATATATATATATATATATATATATATATATATATATATATATATATATATATATATATATATATATATAACATTACAATATTGTTGCCAATGAGGAGCATACCTGGCGAGGTTGATGCGCGCCTTCTGCCCGCCGCTGAGCGCGGCGCCGCGCTGCCCCACCACCGTCATGTCGCCGCGCGGCAGCAGCTCGAAGTCGCGCTTGAGCGCGCACACGCGCACCACGCGCTCGTAGCGCCGCGCGTCGAACTCCAGGCCGAAGAGGATGTTCTGGCGCACGGTGGCCGCGAACACCCAGGGCTCCTGCGACGCGTACGACACGCGGCCGTCCACGCGCACGCTGCCCGACTCCGCCGGCAGCTCGCCCAGCAGCGCTTGCAGCAGCGAGCTCTGGAAACAAAGATGACGGCGGGTTCACGCCTCAAGTACTGACGAAAGGTTGATTGTTTTACTGATTCTGGGCACGTCAACAAACAGGGTCGCTAGTCCCGTAAGTGTAGTGCATGTTTCTCATCTGTTTGTGATCTTTCTAATTAGCAATGCCATTGTTCCCGTAATAGTAGTGCATGTTTCTCCTCGGGAGGTGGTGGTGATTTTTCTAACTAGCAATGTCATTATTCCTGTAAGAGTAGTTCATGTTTATCCTCGGGAGGTGTTGGTGGTGATTTTTCTATCTAGCGACGTCATTATTCCCGTACGTGTAGTGCATGTTTTTTGCTCGGGAGGTGGCGGTGATCTTACTCTCGCTGTATGGCGGGTTCAGGCACCGACCTACCGTCGGCTTTCGGGGGTTACCCCAAACAGGTATCTCCCACCAGGAGTGTAACGCTCCAGTCGGGACAAGGTCTAAGCTCCCGACCGTGTGATAGCCTAGTGCATGTTAGTGTTAGTATGTGTTAGTGTTAGTGCGTGTAAGGGGAGAGGATAGGACAAGGAAGAGGTAGAATACACCGCGCGCGGTTCGTGGCCCGTTTGATAGAGTACTGCTCCGGTATTACCCTAGTCTAGAATGAAGAAACCACGGAAAACTTCCGATCAGAGCAGCCGGCCGCTAGAATTTTCCGAACCGCGATTGAATTCTACCTAGCTAACAAGCTAGTGTCGAAACCTCTACCACCGTTGGAACGCAAACCTAGGACCTTCCGGTCAGAGGGTCTGCAGTGACATCAGCTGAGCCTGAGCCATTTCTCCCGGTCTGACAGAAGGTATTATATAAATATATATGACGTGTGTCATGTTCTGCTTATACTCTCCACTTATCCCACCCTGCCTACTGCCCATACTGTCAGACCGGTTTCGGTACCGGCTCTTATAGGGTGTGGGGTTAGCTTACTGGCCTTTGAGCCCCCAGTGCGCGGGGTCGACCCCGACAGAGGTGACTGGATTTTCCAAGGGTAGAAAATCCAAAGTAACCACATCACAGTTGTGGCATGTAAAATAGTCCTGGCAATAAGCCTGAGTGCTTGTAGTGTTGCGAGATTTGGGATGATTCATCATGTGATGTACCTCAAGACATGTGAGTACCAAGAAATTTCGTATAAAAATCATAGTATGTAAACGCAAGGACGGATGTGTATAGATGCCCAAGAAACGTGAAACATGTAAAAATCATTTAGCGGGACAACTGTTTTATTCCGAACCATTTATTTTGCCCCCAAGGAGGAATATTTAATCTGATTAACGACTGTCCAGTGAATTATTGTATATTATTTTTTTGTAATTACTAGAAACAGACTATTTTTTAATAATATTTGTCCACTGCACTAAAAACGATTCATTTTGTGCGTCGCTTTTTGCAGGGCGTATCGACGCCAGCGAATAGCCTTTTAATCCCGTTGTGCGGGGGGAGCACTCACCTTCCCGGCGCCCACCTGCCCCACGACAGCCACCAGCTCGCCCCGCTTGGTGTCCATGGAGAGGTCCTGCAGCGTGGGCTCCACGGCGCCGGCCTCCCACCGGAACGTCGCCTTCTGCAGCAGTAGAGCCGGCCCCTCCTGCGCACATCAGTGGGGCTGCAGTCTAGTCAAGGTGCTCTTTGTTCTTTTTAAAAAAAATATTTATGTAAGCTCTTAGAGTCGGATTAATCTGACTTAATCTGAGTTTAATCTGACTTTAAGATGTCTTAATCTGACTTTATGTATGCCTTTAGAGTCGTATTAATCTGACTTTTAATCTGAATTTAATCTGACTTTAAAATGTCTTAATTTGACCGTTCTTGTTATTGAAGGTCGCGTCATCATCTAGTTCATTCGCGACCACTATTGCATTTAACGGTATGGTAACTGCGAAGATGACATGATATGGTGATGAAGGACGAACACAAATACAATCATTCCCGAGGCGGGACTCGAACCCGCGATCCTTCGGTCCGAGATAGCCTTAACGATCTCGGCCTCCGGGACCAGCAATCTGACTTAATGCATGCATTTAGGGTCGGATTAAAATTACTTTTAATCTAAATTTAATCTGACGTTAATATGACATTAGCTATCTAGCTATGTTTCCAGTTCTTGGACCTGATTCTATTATCCTATGTGGTGAGCATGGCATATTCCCATCACTTTATCTACCATACTTCGACTGCTTTAGCTATTTTGTCACGCAACCTATAGAAAATGAGATTGTATTAAAAAGCTCCAGCTTTTTTTCCCCGACCACAAATCGAACCCGAGATCTAACCGCGGAAAGCTTGCACTCTGTTCACGAGACATCCGAGGGGCTATTGAATTTCATATTTGTCACCTAACAAGTGTAGGAACTGTATTGACGTAGAAGGGAAGTATTATGTGACGTTTTCGTGACCTCTGGGATCCAAACCATCCTTTTTTCCACATCTAGTTCAATTGTTAATACAGGTTGGAAGGAGGATTGCAATTAACATATTATGTTAATGATTTTAATTGTAAGAGAGCACATGCTGTTGACCGGAGTGTGTACGTACCCGTCCGTATGTGTTAACATATCGAAATACTACTGACAAATATTTTGATGTAGTTGCTCGGTGAAATTTCAACAGAAATAGTCATTTAAATTTCAAAAATACACTTTACGAACAAAAATATTCTCATAGTTCAAAACCATTTATTCCCATGACTGGGTCCACTGTGATACCAAGAACCATTTTGCGCCACTGTGAAGTTCTGACGTCTGTCCTAGTCCCAGGACCACAGCTCTCGTCGGAATAGAAACGGACGACCCGCTTTCAACCCTGTTTTCTAGATCACCTAGACATTTTCGGATAAGAACATTTTTACTTCCACTAAGAAGACAAGGTCCGTTGTACAACAGGAAAGGGTCACTTTATGGAAAGAAAACCTCATTTGTGAGCGTAATCAAATAACTACATTCCCTTTTAAAGAAATAAAATTCAGGTTGTTAATATCTTCATGCAAGATTCCTTTCACGCAGGACGTTGCTGGACTGAGGCAAAGAATTGTATCAAACGTTTCTTGGATAAAAGCTAAGCTATGTGGAAAATTTTAATATGTCAATGCAGTGTGTAATACAAATGTTGTTCTTGGTCCTAAATAATACTTTGATAAAGTGCGAAATCACAGGGAAATGAATCATTACTAACGTAAACGGATTGTTTAAAGAGAAATAACGTCACTGTTGTAAAAGGATA